AGCTTATCAATCATAAGGATTCCTCTTTAATTTTCAGGACAGCCTGACTGGTTGAATGAATCATAAACTAAAATAAATTTGGATGGTATGCCTAATGGAAAAACCTCCATGTTTTAAATCTGAGCTCATGGTGAAATGATTTGCAGAGGGAGTCTGATTTAAATCTGTTTCAGACAAACTCATCAGTTCCCATTCAGGCCCACATCCACTCCACACACAGGCCCAAAGCTTCTGGCACACAGAGCTACAGCAGGCTAAAGCTTGGTAATCTACTCCTTAAACAAACTCTCACATACACCAGACAGGGGAATTTCCTAGAGAATAAGCTCAGAGGGCATCAGCAGCATTCCTGTCCAAAGTTGCATCATGATGGAGGGGATGCAGGAGGAAGAAGGAGAGACAGGGAACGGTTTTCAGTTAGACAAACAAAACAATGAGGGTGATCAACAGCTCATCATTGTTCCAGAAAGATCCACCAGTTGGCACAGTCCGTGCTGCAAATGGGCGTGTGAGGTTGGATGGATGGGTTTACATATAAATGCGGTGCAGGAGAACACAACACCATCTCTGAGTCAGAGGCTTTCCTCACTCCTATAAGTCTTTCAGCTCTCACCATGGATATTCCCATTCAACATCCCTGGTACCGCAAGGCCTTCCCAAACCGCCTCACTGACCTCTACTTGGCAGAACCATTGACTGACTGGCCCTTCTTTTGGTCCTTGCCACGGATCCGCCCGTCCTTCCTGCACTGGTTTAACTGGCTCGATGATGGACACAGTGAGGTACAGTACAGTCCTCCTGCTGTTACAGCTGTATCAAAATAATAAGTGATTACTAAAAGCATTCGTAACACAGACCACATCAAAGTAAACTAGCAGTATGCCGATGTCCCTCGTCTCTGACGGGTTTGAATAGTGAATGTTTGTACACTTTGTGTTGAGTGTTTTTCTGGATTAGAGTTGAATGAGGAATGGAAGTAAACCTTAATATTTTAGGGGCAAGCTATTTAGGGAGGAGAACTGTGGGAGGTTTGTGTTTTTGTTTGTTTGTTTGAGGCAGCACCGAGTGTTGGATCCTGGAGAGTGGCGGGAGGCAATTTATCCACCACAAAGTGCAATGGTGCAGCCAGGGTGGGTGGGACGCAATGGTGGCCTTGGCCCCCATAGATTAATCTTGGGCTACTCCAATGGCCCTCCCAAACGTTTGATGAAATTACTTTTAGACAATATAAAAACTAGAAAACACGTGTGGCTCAGTTGGTAGAGCTGTCACCTCTCAGTGAGGTTGGTGGATTGAATCCTGGCCGGGGGGCTTTCTGGTTGGATTTGTGGACTTTGCATGTTCTCTCCGTGCACGCATGGGTTTTCTCCAGTTACTCCGGTTTCCTCCCACAAACCAAAAACATACATGTTAGGCTAACTGACAACTCTCAATTGCCCCTAAGTGTAAGTGAGTGTGAATGGTTCTTTGTCTCGTTTGTCCCTATGTGTCCTTGTGATGGACAGACGTGTCCAGAGTGTAACTAGCCTCTCGCACAGTGATTGCAGGAAAAGGTCACCAGTGACCCCCATGACCCAAAAAAGCAAAAGTGGGTAAAGTTAATGGATGGATGGATGGCAGTCTGGCTGGCTGAATGGAAAGCATAGTTTCCTCAAATGATTGGGGTGCCATGTTTACAAATATGTATGAGGGCAGCCATCTTGGATTTTGACCTGGCAACCCAATTTTCCATAATGACCTTTCTTATGCTTTGATGCAGCCACACACCAAAATGGAAGTTGACTGGTTGCTTATTTTTTAAATTATCATGCTCCCAGCATGCATGGAGTGTCAGACAGAAGCTATTTCCAATTCTCCCTCTTCACTCTGCACTGAGGGACAAAAATTTAATTTAATAATACATTTTCTGAACAGGCAGCACGGTGGCACAACTGGTAGAGCTGCTGCCTCTCAGCGAGCAGGTCCTTGGTTCAAACCCCGGTCCAGGGGCCTTTCTGGGTGGAGTTTGCATGTTCTCTCCGTGCATGCGTGGGTTTTCTCTGGGTACTCTGGTTTCCTCCCACAGAGCAAAAACATGCATGTTAGGCTGATTGGTAACTCTAAATTGTCCCTAGGTGTGAGTGAAAGAGTGGATGGTTGTTTGTCTCGTTTGTCTCTATGTGGCCCTGTGATGGACTTGCGACCCGTCCAGGGTGTACCCCGCCCCTCGCACAGTGATTGCTGGACATGGGCACTGGCGACCCCCATGACCCAAAATGGAACAAACGGGTAAAGAAAATGGATGGATGGATGGATTTTCTGAACAGATGCAGTTAGTTTGTGTCTATTTTTAGAGGTGAAAACATGAGCTCTTTTTCCCTTCTGCACGTCTGTGCTCTCTCTACAGATGCACATGGAGAAAGATCGCTACGTCATTCATCTTGACGTGAAGCATTTCTCCCCTGATGAGCTGTCGGTCAGCGTCAGTGACGACTTCATCACAGTGCATGCCAAACATGAGGAGAGACTGGTCAGAGTGACTCATACTGTCACCAGAATCGATCCGGTTAAACTCTCCTAATACGCTGACTGATTCTGTTTTCAGGACAATCATGACTTCGTGTCCAGAGAGTTCCTTCGAAAGTACAGGCTTCCATCTGGTGTGTTGGCAGCTGACGTCACCTCCACCCTGTCATCTGACGGCATGTTGACGATCATGGCACCACGGTCATCTCCTAGACTGGAACGCAGTATTCCCATCACTTTTGATGATGGAACACAGAAACAAAAACAGTAGAGCAGAAGCTGAAACTGTTTTACTACTAACTCCAAATGCTACTTGTTTATGATGACATTTTCACAAACATATTGTCTCAAAGAACATGTTTCATCTAATAAACATTCTAACTTTAAAGGCTCAATAAGTTTATAACACATTGAGACTACAAACCAGAGATTATAGTGATTGATTTCTACAGACACACAGAGACTACAAAAAGAAAGTTTTAAAATATATTTTCACATTTACTTATTTAATCTAAAATAATCTCGTTTCAATGAGGTGTTTGGATTTGACATACTTGACCAGTTCTGCACTTTTAGAGATGAACAGAAGATGTCCACGCTTCCTAAACCTGCTGGATTTGATGATTCAGGCTATGACTAGACATTGTCCCTGTGAAAGAAAGTGAAAGACTAAAACAGTCCAACACAACAGCATCTACAGAGAAATGGATGAGCGAGGATGAGCAAGATACCAACTGTGTTTCTGTTAAAACAACATTGGTTTCTGTAAGTGTGAAGAAGAGGTTCTGAGGAGGCATATATTAAAGAAAGTCACAACTAGGGACCAGACATCTGTGCCAACGTGAGGGAGAAAGCAGAAGAATGAGTGAGGGGTATGATGGATAAATACATGAACTAAAATTTTAAAGGTTTTATCCCTGGAATCCTTTTTTAAGGGAACACAACCTGAGCTGCTCATGTTTAAGAACTTTATGAGAGCGGGGGCATTTTTACTTTTAGATGTAACAACTGTTTAATTTTCACAAAAAGCATTAAATATTGTATAATAAATGTTGACTCAAAATTTAATTTTTGTTGTGTGAATTTTCTGTTTTTAAAATAACTTCACATTATTTACATATGGAAAGAATCCAGATAATTAAATACTGCTTAAATACTTAAACTGATTTCTTATTTGGATTAAATTATTAATTTTAGACTGGTCCATAATTTACTTTTCCAACCAGGATTTTTGTGTTTATATAAACCAAATCATGCCTGATGCTGTTAGCCATGTCATGTGGGGTACCTTAGGGTCGTGTTTTTGGCCAAGTTATATTTTTGCTTTGTGTTTTGCAGCTGAGCCAGATTGTTAATCTATTTACTATCTTTTAACCATAATAAATGCTAATGACACCCAGATGTACAACTCCAATAAGTGTTGAGAGTTTTGTTATTTGTTAAATTTAATGGCAATTTATTAAACAAAATAATTTATAGTCTTTAGGTAAACTTTGATGAGACAAAATGGCTCAAATGTTGAACAGACATGGATTGGTCTCATTGACTTTTCATTGACTGTAGAATGAACTTAAATTATTTAAAAAAAATACTTTACAGTGTTTTTTTTTTTAATCTGAAGATGTTTTCTTTTTTATTATTCAGCTGTAATTATACATTATTTTGATTTATTATCAAGCTCTTTGTGGTGTTGTTAAAAGTGAAGCATGCCATTTTACTTCACTTTACTTAGCCTTCTTTTATTTACTAACATATTTAAAATATAATAAAGAATAATATCAATAATACAGTAAAAAAAAAATTGTACTGTTTCAAAATGTGCTGTAGTAAAGAATACCCAGCATGTTGGAATAAAATTTACTGCAGAAGTCACCTGAAACTGAAATGGTGTTAGATTATTTTCAGATTTTTATCACCATCATCACATTTTGACCTCACAGTTTTCATTAAACACAACCAACAAGAAAAAGCTCACAAAACAAAGGCACAGTTCAGATTGTGATTTTTATTTATTTTAAAGAACAGAACAATAAAGCGTTGTAATAATGAACTGTTGACTAAACAATTTTAAAATGTAACTATAAGTTAGAAATAAGCAGTGATCCCTGTTTCTACTAAAGCATGTCTATTGCTTAATTACTTTTTTATTTCATTGTCACTAAACATTACATTGTACAACTGATTTTTGTGTAAATGGGGCATGGATGTATAAACAATATATTGTTTCTGCACATTAAAGTGGAGCACACTGCTTTAAAATGCAAAGAAAAGAGAATATTAATAGTGGGGTATGTTCACTTGTAGGACTTAAAACCTGTTAGATGAATTCACCAGAATATAACTATAATCTAACAGTCATGCATGATGTTCTGCTTTATTTCAGGTCTTTAAATAAAAACATCTTGTAGTTATTACACGACATATAGATCGCAGTTAGTTACGATGCCGCATGTCTTCTTTTTGTCAGTAAATGCTGCATCAGTTGCAGTAAAAGTCCCATTTCTGGAGAATAAAGAGTGCAATTATGAAAAGGCCTCACATGATGAAAGTATTTTGTTTAATTGTTTATACACACGTGTTTCACTTACAGTAGTTTTTACTTCAGTGTTGGCCGGCATCAGAACGTGCGTCTCCTCCACGACGCTGCTGGGGAAGTGGCCGATGCGAGCCTCCTGTTCTCCGTAATACGAGTCCTGTACCTGCAAACACACAATGCTGTAAAAACACCTGAGGGCACACCTTTACCTTATTAGTCCTAAAAACATGTTTCCAGTAATTAAAATGATGTATTCAGATGTATGAATGGCAAATAGAAATTTGGCTCATTCAATGTGTGGATTTATTTGTACAGTATGAGTGCAGTTTCATCTCTTTGGTGTTTACAGACACCGAGGGTAGAGACAGAACCAGGCAGTCAGGCTGAACTTTGTTTTTTGTCAGAAATGAAAAGAAAAGTTAGAGTTTAACAGGAAAGGTCACATCTAGCAGTGAGTAATTCTCTCACCGCTAGCAGAGAAACAATCACGGCTGTAAATAAATGAGAAGCTGAGCTGAGGCTGGTTTTTGTTCTGTTCTTCACATAGAGGTCCAACATGGATGACGGCACAGAGTCCACTGCACTTCAGTTCAAACCTGATCATTTGTTTTACTGCACATTGAAACACTGGATAAACCTTTATCCATGACGGTCATCCTCCAAGGTGAAGAAATGGGTCCGTTCCGATTTAAAATATGTGTAATGGGTTGTTTGAGTATGTAATGGTCACTGGTGCACTTTTTTTTCATTCATTCAACCTTTATTTAAACAGATAATCACATTGAGCCTCGCAGACTCATTTACAAGTGAGACCTGTTTGGACAGACAATAAAAAGTGGTGAAAAATGACACATAGGGTTTGGAGACAAAAAAAATTCCTAACAGCATGATAATGAAAAAAAATCTTGCACACTAAAACATAATGATGCCGACATTCCACGGGAGGGTGGGGGGACGCAAGGAGCAGTGAGCATGTCCAGAGACAACACACAGAGGCTCTTTTAAGGTGAAAAAGCTCAAATATTGTGCTGTTTGTTTAATTTATGCTACAGTCTCTCTTTTAACATACCAAAAACAGTTCAATTGGGTTGATTTGCAGGTGACCTTTAAAGTGATAGTTCAGTGGGGTCCTATGGAAAGTTTAAAAACAATTAATATCTTATCTGTTGTGCATAGCTTGTTAAATGATGTAAATTTAGAGGAACACGGTTTATTTCTGACTAAATCAAAATAAACTACTGTCTTAAAGGAATTCCTAACTGATTTTACAAAATAAGAAAATACAGGAAGGATCTCAGGCTAAAATAATAAAAGACCTGAAGGATCTGGAAAGACTAAAATGAGCTCAGGAGAGGAAAGATGATAAATCATTGACCTAACTTCATAAACAAAATATAAAAATGAACAAATACATTAAAACATGGCAACATACGAAGACTCAGAGTTTAAAATATACAATGTTGAAGATGTGATTGATACAATTTTTTTCCCTGTAATAAAAGACTGTGAATATTACAATGAAGAACAGTTTAATGACATCAATATAACAAATGGAGGTCTCTCTATTATTCACTTTAACAGTAGAAGTATAAATGAAAATATATCCAAAATAACAGATTATTTAAAACAGTTAAACAGAACTTTTACAATAATAGCACTGTCAGAGACATGGCTCAAGGATGAAAACACAAATAATGTTCACATGGAAGGGTATGAATTATATCAAGTGAACAGAAGCAACAAAAGAGGTGGTGGAGTGGCTCTATTTGTTAAAAATGAAATAAAATGTAAATTAATTAATGAAATGTCAATAATTATTGATAATATCATGGAAATAATAACATAAACAAGAATGATTAAAACATATTAATAAGTTGTGTATATCGATCTCCAGGATCAAATATAGAGATATTCACTGATAAAATCGTACAACTATTGGACAAGAGTTTTAATAAAAGCATTTTTTTGTGTGGAGACTTTAATATTGACCTGGGAAATAAAACAGATTCAAATAACATCAGTACATTTACAAATTCATTGTATAGTTTAAATCTTTATCCGTTAATATCAAAACCAACAAGAATTACAACTCATAGTGCTACAATAATCGATAATATTTTCACAAATGTAACAAATGGGGATGTGATGGGAGGTATTTTAACGAGTGATTTAAGTGATCACTTACCAGTTTTCACGATTTATAAAAATGATCAAAGTATTATAAAAGAAATTACAATTAAGAAAAAAACAATAAACACATCAAAAAAGCAATGGACAAATTAAAAGATGATTTACATAAACAAAGCTGGAAAGACGTGCATGTTGATGATGTAAACAGATCATATGATGAGTTTTTGAATATTTTAGGAGCTCTGTATGAAAAGAATTGTGTGCAAAATAATTGTACAAAGAGAAATGTTGTTGACCAACCATGGATGACGAAAGGGTTGAGAAATGCTTGTAAAAAAAAAAAAAGAATTATTTGTATACATGTTTCTTGAAATTGAGAACACAAGAGGTTGAAGAGAAATATAAGAAGTATAAAAATAAATTAGTAGCGATTATAAGGAAACACAAGAAGGAATATTATAGTGATTTATTAAATAAAAGCAATGGTGATATGAAAACTACATGGCGAGTAATAAATAGTGTTCTGAAAAGTCATAAAGCAAAAACAGTATTTCACAATATTTTTTGAAAGATGACAATGAAATCCATGATGAAAATGAAATTGTAAATGGATTTAATCATTATTTTGTGAACGTTGGATCAAGCCTTGCAGCTAAAATACCAAAAGTAGACAATAATGTGAATCATTCAGTTATAGGTTGTGACAACAGTATTTTTCTTAATGGAACTGACAAAGAAGAAATAATGAATGTAGTAAAAAATCTTACAGATAAGAGATCAAAAGACTGGGTGGGCATGGATATGATGTTTGTAAAGGACATAATGAGTTATGTTATCGAGCCGTTTACATATATTTGTAATTTATCATTTTCAAAAGGAATATTTCCAGACAATATGAAAGTAGCTAAGGTAGTTCCTCTCTTTAAAAATGGTGATAAATGTGTGTTCAATAATTATAGACCAATATCCTTATTACCACAGATCTCAAAAATTCTAGAAAAACTATTTGTGACCAGATTAGATAAATTTATTACTAAACAAAACATTCTAAGTAGCAGTCAGTGTGGGTTTAGAGCAAAAAACTCTACATCAATGGCTCTCATGGAATTAATAGAACAAATAACTACTGCTGTTGATCAAAAACAATATTGTGTTAGTATTTTTGTTGATTTTAAAAAAGCATTCGATACTATTGACCACACTATTCTCCTTGAAAAATTGAATAAATATGGTATAAGAGGACTAGCATTACACTGGGTATCTAGCTATTTGAAAGATAGGAATCAATTTGTACAAATAAATGGTGTAAGATCTGACCTCTGCAATATTACGTGTGGAGTTCCTCAAGGCTCTGTACTTGGACCAAAGGTATTTATTTTCTATGTGAATGACTTAGTAAATGTATCAGGACTCCTCAAATGTGTCCTTTTTGCAGATGACACCACATTTTTTTGTTTGGGTAAAGATGTAAAACGGATGTTGGAATTGATGAAGACAGAATTGGATAAAATACAAACTTGGTTTAAAATTAATAAATTATCGTTAAATTTAGATAAAACTAAATACATGCTATTTAGTAACAAACTAATTGTTTGAAAAAAGGGGCAGATATAATAAGATTTTTTCTTCTTTCTGCTGCCTTTCATTTTAAATCTCTTGTATTTTTTTTACATTGTTATGGAATTGTATTGTATTTTTTAAAATGAATAAACTTTATACCATACCATACCATTTTTCTACTGAAAAAACAGGGTGATGTAAAACTGAGAGTGATGCAAATATTTTTAAGAAAGGTTTAAACAGCTAGGACATGTTTGAGATGATTAAACATGACAGTAATCCACTTTTGTCTTGGCCCGTGTTGGGAATAAAATAACCTTTGATAATAAATGGTGGAAAACAACATAATATTGATTGGTGAATATAAGGCTTAATTATGAATTATGGAAAATAAATCATATAAAGATGGCTAGAATTTCTTAGATGTGGCCATAAGCTGATAAATAATATATTTTCAAGGACTGCTAACTTTAAAATCAAACCATGACACTTTCTGCTGTCAGTAGGAAAATAGTTACTTATTTCTAATAAGGCATTTAATGAGAAATATAACATCAAAAATATTCTTGCTCAGGTAATTGAAGTTAAATTATAGTTCACATGAGTGTTTGTGTGGATCATAAAATAATTAATAATGAGTAAAAGAGTAGCTTAATAGGTCAGAGCGACCCTGGCTCTTAGTGGAGCAATCTAAAACTTGATAATGTGTTAAATTACCAAGGGAATAATCAAGATTTTCACAGCCTTTGTGTGATTATGTGTGGCTTGGTGCTGATTATGTGTCATGTACTCAGTGGAAAGAGATGACAGCAAATGATAGATGGGACTGGGACTTCAGAGTCTGTAAGGTGTTTATTGGACATGAACTGAAAATAGGAAATGTCAATGGGTGGAGAAAACAGTCTATAAATGTGGGAACAGGCTTGAGACATGTCAGAATTGTACAGAGGGCCCCTGAGTTCAGGTAATATAAAGCAATTCTCTCTTGTTCACATTTTCACATTTTGAAGTCTGAAAGAATAAAGATGCTTATTTCTGATATAAACGTATGTTCCTTCTGAGCAAACAACCCGGGCAGGGGAGAGGAGAAGAAAAGAGACATTCCCATAACACCCGGACTAGCCATTAGTGCATCTGTTGGTCAGAAACAAACTTTATTTCTCCAAAATGACTCAATTCAAACATCTATCTTACATAGATCAAATTTAATGACTTTTCCATATACCTCCACTTCAAAAATATACAAACCTATTCCAATAAAACAGAATATTGTAGACTAAGAGTTGTTTCTGTGCAGCTTTAGTTGTCTCATGAGTAAGTTTACGTACAGTGCCAGCCCAGAAGAGGTTCCCTCTGTCTTTCAGCATGGCGTAAACGTAGACGAGCTGCCCCTGTCGGATGGGGATGAACCTGCAGTCTCCAGGGTAGAAGTCCTGCAGAGCACGAGCTATCAAGATGGGATCTGTGCAGGAATAAAAAAAAATCAAATATAAAGAATGAAAGCCAAAACGTTTCAGCAAAAAGAAAACATTCAGAGGACCTGACTTAACTTTGTTGGATTTTTTCCACCTGGATTATTCAGCATGAATCATGAGATTATGAACCACTTTGGCCTTGATTGTCTCAAACGAGTTGGCAGGGGAAAGGTCCAGTAACCATCAGAGCACCATCAAACTGGTTGACCCACTATGTGAAGGTGCTATTTATAAGACTGAGTTTGTTGTGGCTCCTCGGACTGATTAAGTCTTTTGGATGAAAGACGGAACGTTTCAACAAAAATAAACCATCCAGTGGACCTGACTTAATGTTTTTTCTACCTGGATTATTGATCATAAATTAGGATAGAAATATAAAGAGGTTTTTGCATCAAACATGTCTGAAATATTGGGGGGGGGGGGTGTATGTGCAGTTTCTAAAGCTCAAAATGAACTCCAGTTAAATGCTAATAATCAGTGTCCAGATAAAACTCCCAAGTAACAAGAAGCTGCGGTTACTCACGGCTGCAGTCAGAGTCGGCACAGAGTTTCTTGTCGGAGAGTTTTGGCATCTGCCTCCCAGCTTCACAGGTCGACAGTAAAATCCCCACAGAAAGACACAACCAGGTACAGAAAGCCATCTCTGCACACTAACCTGAAGTCGTGCTCAGCTCTTCTCCGTTTGCTGACTTTTAGGTCCAGGAAAGACAACACCCCCATAAGTGAACACAGGCTCCTTTGAAAGCCTCCAGGCAGGTAAACAGGAGGATGGGGGGTGAGAAGGAGGAGGAGGGAGGTTAATGTACACAGACTCCTGTTTGTGTCCTCAACTCTTTCCATTACAGCCAGAACAGAATGTTAGAACCTCAGGGCAGTTAAGTCCTCCAATACCCTGTTTTACTTTATTCAGCCGCTGGATGTCTGAGCTGCTTCTGATTCGTCCTCTGTCTCCATCTTCCTGAATCTTCGCCACTTCCTCCCTCTGTCAGGAGGAGGAGGTGTGGTTGTATTTACATGCTGTATGTTCTCACTGCCACAGAAACCAGCTGAGCCTCTATTGCGCAAACACACACACACACACACACACACACACACACACACACACACACACAAACACACCAAACAGGAAGCCTGTCTACCTGTAAATCTGAGCAGGTCACAGTTGGAACCGGCAGGTAAGTCAGACTGGATTTGTCTTACTTCTTAAACTGTTTTCATCTTTTTTTTTATATATATCAAACAATTTTTTTTACAGACACATGAAGTCTCATTGAACCTTTTTAATACAGAAGAGGGATGAGTTTTATGACAGGGAGATATGTTCACGTGGGAAACTACAAATCATTTGGTCAAAGAAAAGACCTGAGAGGACGACTGAACCACGACTGGCATTCAGATTGTGTTTTTATCTTATCAAGTCTTCTTTTGTTCTACTGTCTTCTTAATTTTTACTTCCTGGCTGGTTTTTGTTGTGTCTTAAAGATGTAGTTCAGACTAATGATTTAAACTTTTCCAAACCCATAAATTAATTATCTCAGCAGGACTCACATGGTTAAATAAAGGTTAAAATAAATAAAAAAAATAACATTGGGTTCAGAGGAATGCAGGGAGGGGAGCAGAACAATGAAAACAGTGAAGCTGGTATTTCAGTCACAGAAACCAAAGCACCTGCTGGACAAAAGCCCTCCTTTTAGGTCATTTTAGATTATATTACAGGTGGGGGGTTAACAGTGACGCATGTTCAGTGTCATTCACAGATTGTTCTCGTTTACAGGTTTGTCTGTGAAAAAGAGAAGAAACACGACTTCAAGCACCTCTGTGAGGTTTTTTTTTTTTGGAAACAGACATGGACTGATCGAGGCCAGAGCATCAATAAAAATATTAACATCAAAGATCTGGACCTGTCTGACTGTGGATTACATGCCCAGCCTCCTGAGGGGAATGTTTTCTAACTGATTCCTACAAACCAACAAGTGTCTGAGATGTTCTCCACCAGGAAAAACAGCTTACCTTCACCCAGCCTGGAGGACTCCTTCTTTCCCCTCTCTTCCGCCTCCTCAATGGCTCTCTCCTTTGGTCTACCCTCATCTTCATCTTCCTCTGGCAGTGGGGACAGTGGAGCTATCGACACTGACCTTATCCTCGCTGCAGAGCTCGGCCAGGCGTTACTGGAGAAGAACGAGGAGCTGGCAGCGTCTCTTGAGCAGACGGAGAAGGAGGTGGAGGTAAGGAGAACGCTACAGTGCAGCTGATACTGGAAGAAAAAGATCACCAGACTTTTTTTTTTCTTAAACACAAACTACTTGTGAAATGCTGTGGTCTGCTTATGTTTTAATATTATAACTAAAACTTATTGGTCCTTGAAGGATCTTTGACTAACTGAACATATTAGCCTTAGTTTGAAGTTATTTATCTATTCTACTGATAATTGTTGTTTGTGACACGTGAAAACTCCTAAATGTTAAAAAAAAAAAAAAAGATTTTATTTTTTTCATTTTTCACCTAAGGACGTTGCCATTATTTTACTGGTGCAGTGCATTCTGGGAAGATGATGTATTGTACATTGGTTGTAGTGGAGACTAAAACACAAGGAGTCAAGGCTAAAAAGTTATAATGCGGCAATAAAGTTATATATTGTATTAGTCTAATATATATATATATATATATATATATATAAT